TTCCTTTGCGTACAGTTGGTGGAACGCGAGTAATTGTGCAAGCATCCACCAATGTTTCGTTGGTAATACAGGGAAACAAATATCTATCAAAGCTGCTTGTTGTAGATGATGGTGATGAGCTCCTTATTTTGGGACAGGACTTCCTGACGGTAAATAGTGCTGTAATTGATTTTTTGGCCTCGAAGATAACCTTAAAGGATGGTGTTGAAATTCTTTTCAATTCTGTCTCTGATGTCATGTCAAGAAAAAAGAATTGTTTTATCGAGCCAATTTTAAAAAGTCATAAAAACTTTTCGTTAAACAAGTCCGAATATTTATATTTCGTTAATTTGTTAGATGCGAATTGTGACCACATGTTTCATGTCTCGAGTATAAAAAAAAAATAGAATTTGATATTGATAATTCATTACAGGAGAAAAGGCGTGATGAATTGAATCGGTTATTACTACAATTCCGTGATACATTTTCTTTAGCGCCAAGCGAACTAGGGTGTTATAATCACTCAGACAGAGACAAATTATTGAGGAACAAGTAGAAGAAATGTTGAAGTTTGGGATAATTCAGGAATAGAAAAGTCCATATGCTTCATCGGTAGTTTTGGTGGATAAACCAGAAGGGCCGCTGAGATTTTGTATTGATTATATTGCTTTGAATAAAAAAATTTAAAACAATTCATACACTATTCCGAGAGTAGATGATTTGTTAAGTGTTTACAGGGTGCAAAGTATTTTGCAGATTTAGATATGAACTCTGGGTATTGGCAGTTAGGTTTAGGAAAAGGGAACGAAAAAACTGCCTTTGTTACACATACCGGGCTATATGAGTTCAATGTGTTATCTTTTGGCTTGAAAACGAGTCAAGCGGTGTTTCAAAGGGCGATGGATAAGGTATTGGCGGGAATGAAGTATCGTAATGTGATAGTTTATGTGGATAATATATTGGTGTATGCAAGTACGTTTGAAGAATTTAAAAATGCATTAAAGGAAGTTTTGATTCGATTGCGAAATGCGCATTTGACTTTAAAACCATCTAAGTGTCGTTTCGGTTTTCAGAAGGTGACTGTTTCGGGACATAAAGTGTCGGCCGAGGGAATTGGACCGGACAGTAAGAAAGTTGCGGCGATGAAGGACATAAATCCTCCATGTAGTCTGAAAGAAGTGAGAGTGGTTTTAGGATTGTTCTCTTATTATCGAAAGTTTATTGATAATTTTGCTAGATTGGCACTTCCCATCACGAATTTGACGAAAAAGGACAAGGTGTTTGTTTGGACGAATGAAGCCCAGGAGGCATTTGAAGTGTTAAAAGATCGAATTTGTAAAGCGCATGTTTTGGGACATTACTCGTCAAATAATGAACAGGTGACGCAGTTGTATGTGGACAGCAGTGGATATGCAATTGGATGTTGTTTAATGCAGGGAATGAGAGAGATGAAACCTATAGCTTATACCTCGAGAAAGTTAAGTGAAGCAGAAAAGAAATATTCTGTCACCGAGAAGGAATGTTTAGTACTTATATGGGCGTTGAATTATTTTAAAAGTTATTTATGGGGACTTCGTTTTCAGATAGTTACAGATCATCGGGCACTTGTGTGGTTAAAAAGTAAGAGAGATATGAGTGGAAGACTAACCAGATGGGCGTTATCGATTCAAGGTTGAGATTTCGACATTGTTTATTGTAAGGGTAAAGATAATGTTGTTGCAGATTTCTTGAGTAGGAATCCGTTGCTGGAGGATGTAGAGTCGAAAGTGGAACGTGTACCAGAGCAGAGGGATGAGTTAAAATTGTATGTTTTGCGAGCGAATGATGTCCAGAGTAAACAGGAGGCGGATGGATTTTGTAGAAATATTATTAATTGCATTCGTTCGGGTGTTGGTGATAATTATCGAGGCTTCTTTTTGCAGAACGGAATCCAATGTAAGAAGTGTCGTTTGAATCAAAATATAGTTGATTTACTGGTCGTTCCGTCTGAATTTTCGGAATGTATGAAGGAACTCCATGACAGTGCCTGGACGGGCGGACATTTTGGTTTGTTTAAAACTTTTTCAAGGTTTAGACAGAGGTATTTTATGGTAAATGCTGAAAGAAAGATTGAATCGTATGTCAAGAGTTGTCAGTTGTGTCAGGAGCGTAATATCAATAAAACGATTTCACCATTAATTTCTATTCTCGTGAATGGTATTTTCGAGCATGTGGGGATTGATATTTTAGGGCCGTTTAATCTTTCGGATAAAGGTAATAAATATATAATTGAGAGTATCGAATATTTGTCGAAGTATGTGGTGTGCAGGGCAGTAACCAAGGTGACAGCGGAAACAATATGTGATTTTTTGGTGTCGGAGGTATTTTGTAGGTACGGCGGAGTAAAAGAAATTTTAAGTGATAGAGGGTCGGTGTTTACTTCTCATTTGGTAGAGGAGACAGCGCGAGATTTTGGAGTGATTATGGTGCATACTACGGCATTCAATGCGAAGTGCAATGGTTTGTGTGAGAGATTTAATAGGACGCTGTTGGGAATGTTAGCGAAATATATAGGAGGCTAACAAAGGAATTGGTGTAGCATGTTACCATTGGTGTGTTTCGCATGCAATTCTAGTAAATATAGCAGTACCGGAGTGTCACCATATATGGTTTTGTTCGGTAGACAATCCTTATGTGCGTCAGATATAGAATCGGAGATTAATTATGTCAATGTTGCGGAGAACTTGCAAGATAAGATTGCAAAACAAGCAGCGTTGATCGATGTGGTTAAGGAACGAATAGTGAGGGCGCAGATAAAACAGAAGCGAAATTATGATAAGAAAGCAAAAGTAGTTGTATATCAACCCCCCTGGTTGGTGATGTTATATTATCCTAGGAGAGTTTCCAACAGAAGTTAGCTAAAATTAGCTAGATTGTTTAAAGGGCCGTATAGGGTAGTAGATCGGTTGAGTAGGGTCAATTATACTGTGAGAAAAGTAGGTGTAAATAGGAATAGATCGGGTAGGCAGGATCTAGTTCATGTGAATAGAATGAAAACATTCTATAGGAGGTAATTTAATGTTTTTAGTTTCTACTGGGTTATTTAATCTTTTATATTTGTTCTTTTATATTTATATTTCATATGGAACCATGATGACTTTGTGATGAATATTTTGAGGGAAGTTGTTATTTTCCGGCAAATGCAGACTTGAAAGGACGGGAGGAGAAGATGGACTACCGATTTGGATTGGATGGATATAACTTACTTTTTTTTATGGATATATTGTCCAGTGTGTGTGCATAGTTCGTGGTCACCCTCCCAGATGAACAAGAACTGTCTGCATTCAAGGAAAATATATTTATTTAATTATTAGGAATCCTTCATATGGTATACCCTCATATCATATGTATGTTAGGAAAATGTCGTTGGTAAGGTTATTTGTGTGTTTGTGCTGGTTTGTTTAAAGAAAGTGAGAAAAGCTGATGGAACGTGGATAGCTGCAGGATGAGGACTAGGGCAGCTGGGAGATCAATATTGATGTTACCCAGTGATCGCCCGATGGGTGCTCAAGCCTGTGTCGTCGTCGTAACAGCGTGCACGTTGAAGATAGTTTAGTGATGCATTTAGGAAGTTCTAGTAGTGATGTTTAAGGATTTGTTAGGAACATTCAGCCAAGCTAGGGTAGCTGAAATAAAGAGTTTAGATAGGTTACCTAAAGAGCTAGGATAGCTAACGACTAATTATATTTTGAATTATTTGATTAGGATGTGGTCATGGTCTGTCCTGTTAGATAGGTTTTTGGCAGACTAAAGCCATAGCCTCCTCAGTGGTTTACTTGTTGGTAAGGTAGTAGCTTCCGAGCAGTGTGTGGCTAGCCTATAGTAAAGGCTGACCACTTATGTAAGTTGCCTTTCTTAGGTAGGGCACCAGCTAGGGATGTTCACCCCTTCAGTTGTGAGGAAGAGGGATGTAGTCTAGGCTCTACTCTATGAGTAGAACTACTGGCTGAGTGAATATAGTTTTGTATTTAGAATGTGTTTAAAAAAATAGGATAGAAAAAAGAACATCTTGGCAGATCTAGAAATAGCATCCGTAAGTGACATGTAAAAAAGTACAATAAATATCAAGTTTTGAAGATTATCCCAGTTTATATTTATAAAGTACCTCTCGCTACGCAACCTAAGCTACGCCCCAGGTCACAGTACTATGTCAATGGTCGACTTTTGGAAGAATTATGTAAAGTAAGAGATTTGGGTATCATCCTAGACAGTAAACTGAAATTTACACCACATATCAACTACGTTACTAAGAAGGCAGCTCAAATGTTAGGTTTTGTTAAAAGAAATTCGCGATCATTATGTAGCAAAACCAAAATAATTTTATTTCATACCCTAGTTCGTAGTCAACTCGAATATGCTGCTGTGGTTTGGAACCCCGGATATATGGTGCACTCTCAGCACTTGGAGTCTGTACAACCGGCTTTCACAAGACAACTCGCCTTTTTTTCCTTTTATGTATTTTATGTATGTATTTGATTCCCTTGCGAAGTACAAATCCACCATTTTAAAATACATGTTTGCGAGGGTACCCAATTAATTAATTGTGTGATTGTCTATTCTTTTAATTCTTTTTAATTAATTTTCTTTAATTTTTAATTTATTGATGGATTTTGATTGTCTCTATTATTATCTAATATTCATGTATTATTTTACTAGGCTTCTGATTGTTAGTATTGAATGTTGTGTACACCTATAACTGGCTTGTGTATCGGATTTTGTTCTTCTTAGTCTTAAGATCTTTAAATGTATTAATACACATGCTTTTGGTGTGCTTTTTGAAAATAAATAAATTAATTAATAGATAAATGTGTACAAACAATTTATTTACAAAGAGCAACCCCTAGATTTTCTTGCTCATTCATCTTAAAGATCGGCTTTACGAATGAGCAGTAGAGTTTAATCAATATGACGATTTTAAGTGTAGTGGCTTACCTATGAAATAAAGATTTTTGGACTTGACTCTAATAAAAGTGGTTTAATACCTGAGGATCCGCTCTCTGCCAACAACTATGGACATCGTAAGATTCTTGACACATATCGGTGCCTTCTTCTCCCTTGAAATGCACGCAGTTCTTGCCCATATCATACGCTATGCTCTTCATCTCTTCGGGAAGCATGTTCAGCATCTTTTGGAATTTGAAGTACCCCGTTTGTGGATCCAGCTGCGTTTCGGAAAAATACTACATGACAGATGTTTACAGTATTCCTAGAAGCAGTAGAGCTCGTTGTCAAAGAGTGCGTTCAGAGATGTACTACCCAAATAATAGCAATAAATATGTAATTATGAGTACATAGTTTCTGCCGCCAAACAGTAACGTTCCGGTTTTGAAGGGTTAAGGGTGTTAGTTAAATTACAGCGCTTTGGGATTTGTCAACTTTTATGCCTTACCTGTCCGTTTGGGGCACCCTGGGCAACAATCAGCTAGTTCCTTATGCCAATTGACAAATCCTTTCACCGCGTTGGCTAGCATTAGGTAATAGTAAGGATGCCATCGATACGGTAAGAAGAATATCTGGGTTGAGGGGCAGTGGCAATGCCGTTCAGATCTTTGCGATTTAAAGCTTTGAGTGGCACTGCAACTGTCATAGGTGGTCGTGTCTCTTACCAGGTGCACGATTTGTTCGTCCCATCACTCCACACCAGTAATTAAAACTGCACTAACTCGAGTTTTGTCGATTTTGCGTTTTCGATGCCAAATTATTGAACTAATTTAAATTACATTTAAAATTAAGAAAATAATACAAAAAGTAACTATTGAGGCTATCAGCGCAAAAGTAGTAGCCCACGTCAATTTTGTTATAATATTACTTTAAATGATACGAAAGTACATTGCTATTTTCATAGATAAAAAAAAAATATATTTTTTATCCTTACATGAAAATAGCATCCAAATATGAAATACTTATGTAGTTTATTATCAAGTAATTTTGTAGAAATAAAATTGACCACTTTTGTGCTAATAATAGCCTCAATTATATGTATATATATTTTCCACTTTGAATAACTTGTACCAAAAAAACATTATTACGGGCTACGTTTAAAAATGAAAAAGTTAGAGCAATTAGCGATTTTTAAGTTAGCATTGTCTTAATGAATTAAAAAATAATACTAATAAATAATACACACACTCATAGCCCCGCACTAGGAAAGCCCTGTATCGCCTATGCCTATATGACACACGCATAGGTAGACAACCATAAATTACACCCAAACTCACGAGAAAAATAAATGAAGGCCGTACGAATATTTCTCCCGGCCCGGGAATCGAACCCAGGACCTCTGCGTGGTAGTCCAGCATGGTAGCCGTTCGGCCACGGAGGCAGTTTTGTTTTGCTGGTGTTGACTTGATGCCATAAAAAAAATCTTACGTATGAATGTATATTATAAAAAAGTCTATTGTTCTTAAATAGTAAGTAATACTTCGTAGTAGTAAACATTGAGATGGGCCTGTAGTCGGTTTAAAGTAGGTATGAAATTACTGTATTGCACAAAAAAAAAAACAAGTAAAAAATTGTAGTAAGTACTTAGATAGCATGCAACGTTGATTGAGTAGAGAGGTGTGGGACGCTTCAATAAGACTATTAGTGTTTAAAGTATCTTCGATGACAGAAAGATAGGTGCATCCAAGTACACTTTGCGTAATATCTTTTAATCTAATCAATTCTTCGATCACGGACTGTACAGCGCGCGTTCTTAGATATCTGTCTCTCAATTTATAGGAAAAAAACACCTGTTGGACGAGTCTCAGTCAATCAATCATAGGTAGGTACAGTCACCTTTATTAATTTGTATACAACTATCGAAATTTCAGTCAATAGATTACTGTAAACGCTTGTTGAGGTTTTATAATATTTTACCTATACGCAAATACATATATAAATCATTATTTTAGGAAAATTATACAATTTAAATAAATATAATTATTAATACAAATTTAGAACACTCACATAAAATCCTTCTATCCGGCCGGACACGAACCGACGTCTCCTAACTAACCGTGCCAGACGCTATGTCAACTAAGCCACGAAACAGGTCAATGCACGGAACGAACCAGCAGACCTCACGAATTTTTCTGTGTGCTTGTTGTCGGGTCTTTGTATCTGGTTTTCTGCGACTTTTAGCCGTAGTGCCATCTATGACAAATCTGTGAAAGTATTTCGTCACCCACTTAGATACCTTTACAGCTACCAGTCTTGGCTAAAGATGTCGCTATTAATTCTAATGAAATTTTTATTGAATTGATATTAAATTTTTTATGGAATTACTCCACTAGTTTGTTATAATTATTAGTATAAAGACTGGTTCGTTCCGTGGCTTAGTTGGCATAGCGTCTGGTACGGTTTGCTAGGAGACGTCGGTTCGAATCCGGCCGGATCAAAGGACTTTTTTTTTTCTGAGTGTTCAATCTTTGTATTTAATTATAACAAAGTAGTGGAGTAATTTCACAAAAAAATAAATATCAATTCAAAAAATTAATTAAATAAACTTTTCATATGCAAATCGAATTTGAAATTAGCTATAAGTATTATTAGATTCATGTGTCACGCAAAGACATGAAAGTGCCATTGTTACATATAATACTGCCCTCCTGACCTTAATTAATAATATAATATATAATTTTTAGCGAAATTGACTTATAAACATATCTGCGAAACGAAATCTACAATCATCTCTAATTATTAATAATACAAAGAAAAAACAAAAAAAATGGCGGAATAGGTGCTACTTAATGCTTACCACATCTAATTCCAAGAATATGCACTTCATATAGCACTGAAACAATTTGAAAAAATAGTTGGATCTAGTAAAGAGGCCATTTAGATTTCATTTTTCAATTATGATGAAAGAGCATCGATTTTACAATCACCTTTAATTTAGGGTCATCAGGCATACTTTCGCCTCGACTGAATTGTTCAACGAGACCTGGCAATCAAACAAAGAGATAATTACCTAAATATTCGTATCTGTTCCTAGATAATTGCTATATAATAAGGTTTCAATTACCTTTGTCAACTCCGGTGCTCCCTTCACATTTTTCGACTGTCGGGCGTATTTGCTCCACAAATTCCTTTGTAGGAAACTGCGAATGGAAATCAACATTGAATTTCACAGAACGGATTCTGAATTTAACTTACAGATATACTAGAACATTTCGGTATTCGAATTCGGTAATTTGTCGATCGTAACTCACCTCAGCTAGAGTGAGCGACACGAAACACACGAGCAACCCACACAATCGCTCCATCGCTTTCTAGTAACGATCCAGCAGCTTCGCACTTATATCCCGTGCACAAATTAACACCTAGCATCGCTTCGCATGTTAGCTACGCTGTGTAATTACGCGTCCCCATACATGAATTAAACGTTTAACTCATTCATGACGGTGTTAAAGACGTTCTGCGTGGCAGCGTCTCTGGTAATATCTAGTTATTCGACAAAGCCATACGAATTATCGCTCTGTTTAATTATAGAGACAGTATCGCAATATTGTAGAGTCGCAGAAGACAGTTACTATTCTAGATCTAAGGTACCTACTTACAAGAACATGGAGTTTAACAATAGTCTACGTCATCATATCTTTACCACGCGGAAATTTGTACAATGCAAGCCTTTATGCTAAGCTTTATTGGTCACCAAATTTTTGAACTACTAATTTGCATTCATCCGGTGTTTTAATTGAATATGAGGTGAGGAATCTCCCGTTAACGAGCTATTATTAAACGTGACAATTGGTGAATTTGGGGAGATCTGGGAAATACTATTCGTCAATTAGCGACTGTGATCGCACCCGATGAGCGATCCGCCATTCCGTTCCAAATGGCGCTTTGGGTGGTAAATGACGTCAGATTTCAAAGTGGGGCGAATGCGAAATGCGAATGCGAACTAATTGGCGCGATGCAACGCCGCTGCCGCTCCGCCCCGAGTGGACGCACCGTCGAATGATTTCAATTACCTAATTAGATTTAGGTAGCACGGAACTAGTTTGACGATTCCGAGAGGATTTGCGAGTTAATTGTAGGAACGGCCCCTATTTTCCCCCTCTTATGATAATTTTATCGGGTATGAAAAGGGGAACGAGTGGCCCAAAAGTATAACCAATTATGGAGTCATAATTGCGATTTTAGTTTAAGTACCAAATTCTGTTAAGAAAAATCTGGATTTTGTTTTCGTGAAGTATCAATGAAAATAGGGTTGCTGGTCGTTACGTCGGCAAGATCTTTTGAAAAATTATGAGACATGGTGCGTACTCGAAGATCAAAAACAAGATGGAGTGGAATCGGAGGTCGAGTCGTGCTTGTGATATCGATACGATATTATGTGTATTTTTGAGGCTGCTTCCTTTAATATGTTTACCGAAGAGCCGCATTAACCGGTTTAGGAGATATTGGATAGAAATCTGCATGTGAGTCGGCTTCGAGAGGTGGTATGTTAAATCTTAAGCATAAAGATTGGAGAATGTCGTGTTATGGTGACTACATGTTTATAAATTGAATAAATTGAAGATATTTACATGTATAGTGGCATTAGAAGATAACTGAACTCAGGTCGGCGTTCAGCTGTGGAGTTGAGTGAACTCAATTTGATTTATAAGTTGATTAGGATCTGATAGTACATATATATACGTATGTACACAAATACAGCCACATACCAACAGTTATATCGTTATTAGTAGGTATAATAATCTTGAATCCAGTAGGTATATAAATGATTAAGTAGGTGCAGATGGCGGGTTCTCGGCTTTAGCATTGCTAAACCTCCTTTGATTGATTGCGCTTCCTCCACGCATACAATCTATATGCTAATACAGCCGATCTTTTTTTAAAAGGCTGCATCCTTATTATGTAAATCTGTACGGACGATTTGCCTAATCCATGATCGGACGTTCTGAAGATTGTGATATTTTTGGGTTTCCCCTGGGACAACCTCGAAGATTGCTTTCAAATACTCGCATCTGAGTTTTGCTACAAGGACGGCTATCCCGAATATAAGCTATAATTTTTATTAACTCAGTAATAGGGGACTTGTTTTAGTGTCTTTGGTTTTGCCATCGAAACTTTTTACGGTTATCGGGATTAAGATCGAAGACGAAGTTTTAAAAAGGGTTAGAGAAGAAAGAAATCTTTTAAATACAATAGAGAACCCAAGGGGAATGCTTGGACATTTTACGTAATGTAGAAGGAAAAAGAAAGAGAGGAAGACCAAGAATGGCGTACAGAAAACAAATGAAGAAGGACATCAAACTGGGTAGCTATAAGGAGGTCAAGGGGCTGACTATGAACCGTGAGGAGTGGAGCATGCTACAAAGACAACGGCCTGGCTCTTAAATATGATGATGATTGGATTATGATATGAATCGTAGCTTGGTGTTATGGGTGCCATTACTATGTAATCAACATTACCACTCATTCTTCGGCTGAGTGTCGGACAATCAACTACTACCGATGATGCCTCGTAGAGCGGAGAAACAAACACGTGTCGGTACATTTTTGTAATTGCGCTTGTGTAATTTATTGTATTAATTTTATGCGGAGGGAGGGTGGGAAAAATTATCGGCATGAAAAATATATTAAAGACAAGCGCAGCAATTTTGCATTTAACCTTGATTGGGTTCACGGAGTAGTAAATTAATTTACTTCCATCTTTATTAAAACGGATTTCAGTAATATTGGAACCACTTTCATAATACAAGTAATTTAAAGTATTACCCATTTGCGTGGAGATCCCATATTACAATTTATATTTTCTTGGGCCTATCGCTTCTTGCAATTCTTTTTGAATTTCCTTAATACTTATTTACTTATCTAATAAATATATAAATTGAGACTATCAGTGCAATAGTGATGTAACTCACATTCAATTTTTTTTACAATATTACTTTAAATGTTACTGAATAGTACGTAATTATTTTAGATTTGGATGCTCTTTTTATGATGAATGAAACATTTAATAAATTTAATATTTTTTATAGACGAAAATAGCGTCCAAATATAAAATAATTATGTATTTTAGTATCATTTAAAGTAATAATGTAAAGAAAAAGTTTAATATGGGTTAAACTTTTGCGCTGATATCCTTAATTATTCTGTTCTTTTGCTTATGTATATATTTTATATTATTATATAACCATATAAATAAAAAAATGGTTCTCCTGATGTCGCCATTATCGAGGTCCCGGGTCAACGTAGACAAACTAACTTTTGTACGTAGTCCCGTGTCTGGGTGTTTGTGGTACCGTCTTGCTGTATACGATCTCCATAATACAAGTGCTTTAGTTACTAAGTTTGTAATCAGAGCAACGTATGTGATTTTATTTAATAGTTATTTCATCTTGAACTTATAACTTATGTTACGATGTTCGAACTAGCTCAAGGGTTGGATTATTACACCTATACTATGATGGCGAAAAGTGTAGCGCATAGACCTGTTAACATCGGAATAAAGTTGAACAAGTCGGCAAAGTTGAACAGCCAACCTCTAACTCAACCCAACGGGAGAGACTTGTTTGACAGTTCATGCAGAGTTAAAACCACGTAAATAGTTTTCCCTGTAGAATGCATTCAGGACTCGTTTCCCATGATCAGCTGACCTCAAGTCTAATAACAAGTTAATTTGTTGAAAGGGCATTTATTTAGTTGCTGTATAAAACTTATAATTTTTATAGGGTTAAGTTTGGGATATTGGACCTGCAACTAAATTCGAACACCCTCATATCTCAAAAAGTATTTTTGTAATTGTATTATTGGCATAACCCAGCGATATGATAATATGATGATATAACTTCATTGCATTTTGGCTATGTTGTTTTTGTTGTAATATTGAACGTCTGTGTTTTGTTTTGAAAAATCTTTTTTGTTGTTTTTAATGTAAATTCCACAGACTCGTGCTAAGAGTGTAGTTAACTTATAGGTAAGCATACAGTGTTTGTAATTTACAGCATAGAAGTATAATTTACTTACAATCAACTTACATGAAACAATTGCAATTTATGGCGCCGGTGGTCACATTCACATCGCATGACGTGAAAAATGTTGTAGCAAATATGAAACGAGGAAATCTCCAGGATTGGATGGACTTAGTATAGAGCATGTCGCCTATGCGGGTGACGTAATATTTCGTGTATTGTCAGAATTATTTATAAATTATTAGCTTAAGAAATAGTTACCTGCCTGACACCCTTATGAAAACTGTAGTGGTGCCAGTGCCTAAAAATATAACTGGTAATCTTTCTTCTCTCGCTAAATATAGATCTATAATCATTAAGTACCATAATAGGGAAGATCTTGAACGACTCGTGCAGCCTGTCCTTGCGAAACAGTGAAGAATTAGCGATGCACTGTTTGGTTTTCGTTCCGGTCTCTCAACTGACTCGGTCATTTTCATTTTGAAGCACACAGTAAAATATTATATGGACCGCGAAATGTCAGTGTTTGCCTGTTTCTTGGACCTTAGTCGTGCTTTCGACTTGGTAAATTACAATCGTCTTTGGGAGCAACTGGAAACAGAGGAAGTCCACCATGACATTGTGGGTCTGTTGAGATATTAGTACGAGAACCAAACAAATGCGGTGAGATGGGGCGACACATACTCTAGTGAATATAGATTAGATTGTGGTGTCCATCAAGGTGGGTTGACATCTTCGGACCTATTCAACCTATACGTAAACGACCTGATCGAGGAGCTGAGGAGCACTAGGATCGGTTGTCATATTGCATTAATAATTTAAGCTACGCGGACGATATGGTGCTTGTCAGCCCCTCCATCTAGGGTATAAGGACACTTTTAAGCATTTGCAAGAGGTTCGTGGTGCAAGATGATACGGCGTTTACGGTTATTTTTACGGAGTTTGTCAATAACTTCCGGCAAACAAATGGTCGTGTACCAATCACTATTTACGGTACAACGATTGTCCAAAGCAACAGTAGCCACGTGTCCAGTTTTATTAAAAAAAGAAGAAATTATCCGCTTAGAGGCACTATGCACGCGCGCCACTTTGGTTGGTTTCGGCTCATCTCGAAAGACCCATACGCTCGATTGCTGCTTTGTTTTGGGATCGTAACTATAAATCCATATTTCGTCACCTGTTACTATGTCCCACACCAAATTTGACGCCCCTTTGTTCAATCTGGTAAGCATGGTATTGCACCAAGTAACGCGATCCGTTTTTTGAGCCTCAGTCACATTGTGTGCACAGCACTGTTTTTTCACACACAAATGTTTGTGTAGTGTTGATTGTATTTGACTCATGC